TGGTATTAATGACGCCTGATTGGTACTTGTGCCCATTTCCAGTGCATACACAACAATCAGTATCTGATGAATAATTCCATACATCTGATGACTCTGTGGATGTCAAGATGGACGACACTCCATTATCGCCCTGAGAGAAGTTCTATTCAGAAAGTCTTTGAATCGAGCGTAATCGAGTAATAAGGTCCACTTTGTTGAAGTCAGTCAGGCAGCGGACCTGACATATGGGGACCATGTGGAATGAGGTCTGGCGGAATGCCAGGGTCATTAGCACTTACTTCGCGACAAGAGTTTCTTAAGTATGGTCGGAGCGATTAAGGCGTCCGTTGTGATATGGAGGCATGTCATAACATTCCATGTACTCTTTACTAGTATAGCACGGAACTGCATGCTAATCACTTGCACCTGGCCGCAGATGGACTTTTTCCTCTCTCAATCTCGATACGTAACTAACATGTGAGCCACAAACCATTGCTGAGGGAATTACGAGGTTATTTGGAAGCGATTCTCGTACAGCAGCAAAGAGCAACGTAATCTTCTTGTCACTACATCAAGTTTGTCGTTTTGTGGGAGCGGAGTAGGTTTTTAGGAAGTAGCAGTGAGCAACAAAGTCCTCTAGTCTTTTCATCAAATTTATCTCATTGTAGGAGCGGATTAGGTTTTCGGAAGGGTGCTGCCTGCACTGTTGGCTCAAACGAACGGTCCTCTCTCAATCATTTACCGCCTACAACAGTTCTCCCTTACTCGGCTGCCATCTAGCTTCCTCTAGTTTCGCATCGCCCGAAGTTGGCTTAGAGAGTTCGACTTCACTCTGTAAAACTCTGCTGTGAATTTTCTAACCTAAAATAGTCTACAGTACTTATGAATCGGTGTTTAGTCTTATGAAGCTCCAACCAGTATTTGTGACCTTTTCTTCACAAATGTCACTTCGTGGGAGATTTGCTTTGAGTGCTAGATCGTAATCTCCGATACCCGCTCCCATGTGCTACTATCTGCACTTTTAATTACCTCCCATGGTAAAAAAATGTTTCGGTAGCAAATCATGAGTGCTGAAGCTAATGGAGGTATGAGGGCCCTGTTGGCTACTTCTACCGGGTTCGGATTCCTACTGAGAGGTAATCTCAGTGAGACTGTGGTCGGCTATGTTGCTCACCTCTTGCTCGTGACTACAGTGACATTGCCGGTTACCATCGAGCACACATGTCCCTGAGGTTTTCGCGTCCTGAAGAGTGGGTACATCAAAGAGCAGTCCTTTCGATTATCGCTCTTCAAACCTGTTTGTGACTCTTTCTTCATAAGTTTTTCTTCGTGGCTGTTTTACCCTCCCCCGAGATCGTAATCTTCGACATGCGATCCGTTGTCGACTGCTCGCTATCTGCTCTTTTAATTACCTTTTATATAAAAAAAACCGTTTTGGTAACCTTGGGCGTCAGGTATGGAGGAGCTGACAGCCCTTCTAATAAATCCAGCTGGTGTCAGATTCTTTCTGGGAACTCAGGGTACGGTGAGACTGTGATCGTTGAGGTACTCTTCCCGCTAACCCAAGCCCTGTACAACGGGCATTGTCGATTATCGTCATAGTGCATTAATGACTGCCTTCCAGATCGCCTTCACCTTGACATCATGTGCGAATGAGATTACTGCCGATCCAGTGGGCTGGTTGGCATCGTTAGCGATCGTATCTGGCGGAGTATGTCACGTTATGGTCCATTATGCGATACTAAGTACCCACTATGCCCCAATTCATGCAGACTTGATTTTTACGACCTTTAATAGTCACTAGTGGTACTATAATAGCATGGTTGGGGAATTATAAGCATAGGGCTCAAAAAGACTGGTGATGATGATCCTCAGAGCTGGTTCTATCGGCACACTAACACCAGCTACCGACCGACAACCGAACAAACGGTTTTGAACTGATGAAGTTTCTTCTTGAAAGCTACAAAAGAGCGAAGACGTTCAATGGTCACAATAGCTCAGACTCCTCGAGCAGACAAAGCCAAATCTGGCCTATGATGGTGCAAGTGTGATAAATAAAAGGGGAGTCTCGGTATGGACCAAAAACTTGATGTGTTTAAGCAGTTAGGGTGTTATAGACATGGGTATAGGCTCGACGCAAATCATAGATGACCAGAGTGTAAACCACTTCAGGGAGAGAATCGGGAGTGATGTCATAACGTCTGTGGAAGGCCTATGATGTCTCTGACGCACCTAGGGCTGCAGGAACTCGATTGAGAGCGAGTCTAGCTCAAAAGTCGTCTGACTATGGAAGCAAAGGTTCACCCAAGACATAAGACTGATGAAGGCGCCGCACTGAAGATTTCGTCTTTTCCAGCCGTTGAAGTTCATTATTAAAATAACAGATAGTGGATGCCTGATTCCCCGACTGGCACCCTCTTTCTGCCTCTACTGGAGGTTACCCATCCCTATGGTCACCCTCTCGAACCTCTATTGCCGTTAAACACTATCACGGATCCACAGACAGACCGATTTCTTGGATGAGGCGAAACATCTAGAGCAACGCTTGCCCTGAAGGTTCCTTTTTCTCAGGAAACTCAACCAATCAACTTTTTCACCACCTTAAAATAGACCTAGACATCGCCTTGTCTCTTCAAAAGTCAAACGTTCTTCTAGACTCGTGGGAATCGCTTGAGCTGATTTGTGTGCTCTAAGAGGGAGCTATTCAGATGCTGCTGCTGATGAGGTATAGCTCGGCAGACATCCCTCATGTCAATTCAAGTGGGCGTTCAGATTTCAATTTGTCCCCATACACAATCGCTTGAGACAAATGACAACCAGGCTGCATATCCCCGATGGTCGCATTCATTTTGGCCTCGTTTGATGGATATCCTTACATGGGAACACAAAGAAATGAGCGAATGCTGAAGCGTTCGGTTTTGTTTCCTCTGCAGTGGGTTTTGCTGTACAAAGCCCTCCGTATAAATAGGGGCATCTGGGTTTTTCTCAGAAAAGCCAAAATTAATGGATGGGAAATGAATGAGGACACTTCTTTAGAGCGACTGGGGAATGGGTTTGGTACCAAAAATACGTGGATAGCATTCATTTAACCATTCTTCTGGAAAATTTGAAGGGGGAACATGGCCTCATAAAGCAGGGAGGTATTTTGGTACAGAGCTTGATTAAGCACTGTGGTTAGTCCATCCCACTTATTGTTTTATTACTACAATTTAGTGATTGGTACTTTTCTCATCATTTCTCTTAACCTAAAAAGAAAGTCCCCCTCTTCGTAGAAGACATCAGAAGACATCATTCCATTCTTAAAACCAATCAGAGCCTTCTGAGTCAAGCTTGCTTCCAGTGCGCTTCAAATTCCTAATTCTGCTGGCGTCCAATGCCTAAAACGGAGCGTCCAAGAGGTATATTCCCAGTCTCGAACGGGTCACAGCAGTGCAAAATGATGTGGGAGGTCCAATTCCCTGTAGCAAAACCCACGTATTAGTCCTGAAACAGTGCCTGAATTTTAAAGCACAGTTCACGGTAAATCTGTGGTACCCGTTTTGGGTTGAAAAGTGGAAGTGTTGATGTAGACGAGTAAATCGCTGGCGAAGAAAGTAATCCGCCCACTCAAAGGTTTTTAGAAAGTGGTGGAAGTGGAGGTTGTACGAGATCATCGTGACGGAAATGGCATGTAAAGGTGTTTGGACGAAATTTAACTTGCTCCCATTGCCGCAAAGAAATGACATCAAGCCAAAATTGTCGGAAACTGCCTTTCACCGTCGTCATCGGTTATGACAAGTTGCTTGAATTTCCTACATGGCAGTCCTCTGAGAAAATGCAGCCTCAACAAGCCCGTTGAAACTGGCCCACCATAGATGTTGCATTCACACGATACAAACTCGGCCCCCCCCCCAATTGTACCCTATCTGGGAGGGTTTTTGACCTCATAGCGAGAGGTATGGTGCAAGAGGGAGCCTCGAGATCATACTGTAAGGAAGTCTCAGAAACCATCTTTATCGTGAACTGTACCTTTGAGGCGAAAGGCATATTGTAGGAGTTGTGGGTCACTCTTCACCTTCGATAAATTTTTAATACGATACATATTCTGAGGAAATAAGGTGTTGCCAAAGACCTGACCCTCCTCCCGAGAACTACACTATTTATCTGTGAACCTCCTCTAAAAATGCTACAGTCTCACAGAAGCAAGTGCCATCGGAATTCGTGGTCCTTAGACTTCACGAGACTTTTCCACCTTAAGGACACAAGTTTTCTATGCGTCTCATGTTTTGCCCTTTGAAGGACAGCTGAATTATCGCTAATTTTTTTGAGAGCATAGAGAAACTGATATCTACCCAAATTTCTTCCTACCTAATACTCGTCGCGACTGCGGATAGAAGTCGAGTGCATAGCGTATGCCACATCCGGAACTAAGTGACAGTGAATGTGGGCTCATCCCAGCATAAGAGCTGCATGAGGACATTGCTCTAAAGTGATTTATGCATTTTGTATGAGCCCTATACGATCTGATAATGATGCCATAATTGCGGCTTTGTCTTTGAGCAGCCATGCACTAAACACTACACTGACCACCTGCCCCAGTCCATCACAACTGTATACAGGTAGTCATTTGGATGGCGCAATAGCTAAAGACGGACCCGACTGACAGGGTCCGTTGTTTTCCGAACAGAGATCCATTAACTCGGACGGACAACTCCGTAATACGGTCTCACTGGAAGAACAACATATAAGGAGAAAGGGAACAGGGCATCCGGCCTACGCAATAGTATCGAGGCAACTGAAACTTCAGAGATCACAGCTGCATATCCTTCTCCCTTACTTAGTTGCAGTTAGAGGGTTCCGCAGAGCAGAGTTGGATTCCCATGCAAAGGTTTTCGGGCTAAAATTCCCTACTAGGGAAAAATTTTTGGGAAGGCATAGCAATCACTGAGTAAGATCTCTTCAAAGTACGATAGTAGCTCACCTAATTGGCTTATGAATTCCCGCTAAAAAAAGCACTTTTCTGGGAAATTCTCAAGCCACTGCAGAATTCCATTAAGAATAGCTCAAAGGTTTGGCAAAAGGAAGGTCTGAGATTGATTCCACCAAGCACCTCAATTTTGAACCACTGAAAAAATGCTTGACATCATGCTTGGAGGCATTTTTTCGACCCCATATATTATATCGGCATCATGATGCTGCTCTAGTATACTTTACTGGACCAAGAGCTCTGTCTGGACCACCTTTTCCTGAACTTCACCTGAGCTCTACGAAAAGAAGTTGTCGAGAACTGAGGTTCATGAACGCTAGAAAAACGTGGTATTGAGCTCTCTAACTTTGCAATGAGTACAAAACTGCTAACTACCACTTATTCGGGTATAAATTTATTTAAAAGATCCGTGTTTTTGATAAACTACTATTTATAGCTCTAAAAATTATCATCATTTCACAGTTACTACAAAATTTTCTTAAATATTTGTTTATGAAATAATTGGTAAATAGTAGTACTAATTCAGCGGTGGGTAAACGGTTGCTCTGCTTTCCATGTTATTTTGATGCTAATGAGGAAACAAGCTGTCTTGAAAACGTTGTTTTTCCAAACCCTCTCAAGCCGACTCCTAAGCAACTATCACATCTTTACAGATTTGGAGTTCCTGTCATTGGCGAACAACTCCCTCACACACATCACACCCGAAGCTTTCTCGGCTTTGCCTCAACTAAAGCATCTGGATCTCTCCAACAACAATCTCTTGTCATTACCGAGGAACGTGTTCATTAAGCTGAAAAACCTTGAGGTCAGTGCTCTCAGGCAAACCACTTAGTCGCCAATGAACAATTGCGATCAAAATTGAAATTTATGCATAGTGCTGTCAGTCAAATCTTGTTGTCCGTTGACAGTTTCAGTAGTTGTGGTTATGGGGGCGATTAATAATTAAGCCATCTGTCTGTCCGTGGACGTTCATGTTCGAGCCAATTGGTTTACAATGTGTTTGAGCCGGGGTGAATAGACTAGCCAAGAAGGGCTAATCCACCCTCATAACCAGCAAACCCCAACACTAATAATAAACCATAATTTGAGCTCAATAACAATTTTCAGACGCTCACACTATCGAATAATGAGCTCCAATTGTCACCAGACACCTTTGCGGGATTGTTGGCCTTGCAACGACTTGAACTAACGTCAAACCGACTGGCCTATCTACCACCATCAGTCTTCAAGGGTCTGAAATCGTTGGAGATTCTCGATCTCGCCAACAATAAACTTCTGGCGCTACCAGCTTCACTGCTGTCTACAGTACCACAACTGAAACATCTTGACGCCAGCCACAACCTGCTATCTGATGTAAGAAATTCTGAGCTTTTTTTTGTTAGATGCTTTTTATTCGAATCAATAGTTTTTATAAAAGGTGATCGAGAAATATGCGTAGGTATTCCGTCAAAAAAAGGGTGGGAAACCCGGACAAAATTGGCTAATTTGAATTGGGAATAAAAGGTGCTAATCGGTCCCTATTTGCTTCAGTTCCCAGTGTGCCCTTATCGGATCTACATACACACTGCCAGATATCAGTTTTACTTGATTTCAAACGATAAAATTGAAAAATAATAACATTACCATTTGAGGAGAAGCTCGGAAATCTGAAATTTTCTGCTATATTCGTTGTTCAGCGAATTACGAATGCAAACGAATAAGATGGAGGGGAAACTTCCCATTTCGCGGAGGTGTAAACGGGATATTGAGGTACTGTGAACTGATGGAAATTTTGAAAACTTTTTTCTATCAGTTCAAAAGCTGTCACTAAGTAGAATAGCAGGGGAAAAGTTCTGCCCGAAAAGAATTTATTATTCTTTTTCGTTCTTTTTCTTCCCCAACATTGGGTTGAAATCACCTTTCGAGCAGTCTAGTTGATCTTCTTAATGAATGATGAATGGATGAATCTTACTTCTTCTGTAGCTCAGAGGACAACAAATTCACACGAGTACGCCGATTTCATATTGCCGATTCACTCGTGCGCATTTTAAATTTAATTAGTGCACTTTCTGAAGAATTCATTGTGAATTGAAATGGAGCTGGAATAGGTCCTAAGTGCAAAACAAGGGAATCGTTGGGGATGAGGTCTTTGTCGGGGTAATATCGACATTTTATAGACTGGTTCACTCGCTGTCAATAGGTTCTTCAGGGAAAAGCGAACCACCACATTTTGCAGAAAGAAGTATGGACCTATAAATCTAGCGGCAAAGCAAAGCCTCAAGATTTGAAGACGTTTACGGGATCAAAGGAATATGGTCGAGAGATGGTCGGGAAGCAGGGCTGTTTAGAGAGAACCATCTCTTCAGCATTCCTGTCAAACTTCAAGGAATAAAATTTCTAGTTATGCTACAAAAAAGGGAAGAAGGCACTCGTTGCCACCTACGGAGCTGATCTGTGGACGATCTACGGTCCTTGGTAAAACCCTATTCCAGAGTCCACAAAGTTCTGTCTTACTGCTGCTTTGGCCGCTGTATTCCATGCAGAAATCTCTCTGTGTTGCTGAAATAGAGGCAAAACAGTGGCCTTCGACGGGATCCGAACTAAAGCCTGGGCATACCAGACACCACCTTTTTACCGTATTCCCCCCCTAAAAGGGTTTGTACTGGTTTAAAGCTGCGTAAAGGAAACCGTGAATTCCAATGGCGCTTACCAGTAATGAACAGTGACGAGAGCAATCTCAAAGCTTCCTCAAATCTCGTTCCAAAAGGAAACTACCCAACCTCCTAGGTCTTTCACATAAGCGTTGATCCGCTGATATCCCAAGGATTAGGTCTCGCAGGTGTATGTTCTGGTGTTCACCCTTACCCAATATCTCCATGGACCTGACAGAAGGCCATCTTGACGTTTTTGAAAAAGGACAGATGCGTTTGGCGTAACACTGATTGATGCCCCACGATCGATAATTACCGTAGGATCATTGGCAGACGGTGTAGGGGGATTTATCGCCACGGTGACAATAGCGGTCATTCATACCGAACGTCGTTTAAGCGCTATTAGCTCATTGTGGCGGTATGGCTTTGACAAAAGCCAAGAGTCGGATTTGGACGACCTGCGACCAGGCTGCAAGGGTATTCCGCCTTTCGATTTCCGCATCTCCAGCTGAGTTGTTACAAAGAAAACGCGGAACCATGAAAACCAACGAACGATCTGAAAAACGCATCAGATTGGAAGCCCCGTGAGGCTTCTGAGTTCCGAGCAGAACATCGACATCAGGAGAGATTCGAGCCCGTACTTGGATTTTTCGGGCAATAGAACTCAGTCTAACAATTGACTAGGAAATACAGGTTCTCCACCAGGCCTGCTACTTTCCGCGTAACACTTGTAGGATGAAGAGGGTAAATAGCTTGAACCCGGTTCATAAGTAATGCGAAAAAAGGTGACAGTTCGATCAGAAGAGTCATTTTCATTACTGTCCTGCAGGAACTTGAATGATTCTTAATTCTTGATTATTTCTTATCATTTAGAATATTTTATGATACTTTACTCAAGGCTTCTGTGATATCTGGCAGTACATACTGCCGTAATTGCATCACGCGAAGAGGTCTATTCAGTAATAGAAACGTGATGCACTAAGGATAGTCTAACAATTGAGGCATTCTTATTGTCCAACACATCTTATTCTTAGCTTGTGTTTTACCAGAAAAGTAGCATTTTTTGGCTATGTCTCATTTTTAATTTCTGTCGCTTTTAGCTAGAAGCCGGCCAATTCTCAGCACTACGCGAATTGGAAACGCTCAACCTCGCCGACAACCTTATCAGTGACATCAATGATGGAGCTCTGTTTGGAATGGACAATTTGACACTGCTGAACATGACCAATAACCAGGTGAATACCGAAATTTCTTCAGGAACCCATCAAATCGAAGAAACTGCCACTTTTTGGCGACGATTTATTCTTTCTTGACAATTTGCTTGCTCTATCTTACTAGTGATAGGAAGCGAGACTGTGTAGTGGCGAAGAGCGCACATTATCCCACGCAAGGTCCTAGGGTCGAATCATGGATCGTTATTCACCTAGGCCACCAAGCCTTCCATCCCTTCATAGTCGGTTGTTTGGTACCACATTCGTCTGGGAGGGTAATGCACTGACTAGAACATCGTCTGGCCAGCGCAAGTCATTGTATGAGCCACATACCCATTCAAACCCCTTTTACGATACTGAATGAAAGTCGATTACTGGGCGCAATCCCCAAACGGCATAGATTGAGGCTTAAAAACTTCAAGAGATATTGTCTGTCTAATGAGTATATTTTACATTTTTTCAGTTAGTACGACTTCCTGGCAACACATGGCCACTCGCCAAACTTCAATCATTGGATCTGTCTGGTAATCCATTCGTCGCTCTCGAAACAGCTTCGTTCGATACCCTACCATCACTGCAGTTCCTGAATCTGTCAAACTGCAGGAACCTGAAGTCGATTCATGTAAGCTCCCTTTTTTCAAATTGAAGTTGTGAATATTCGGGCGTCTGAGGACCCCTCATGAATTATACCCACCTGAGAAGGATTTTGGATACCCAAATAGCTCAGCCACATCTAAGCCACTTACAAGTGGGTCAAAGAGTCAAGTGTGATTCTCAATGTACACAACTCATTTCAGATGGCTGCCTTTGTGTCGATGTCGTCGCTTCGAACGTTAGATCTCTCCAACTGCGCTCTGACGCACATCGCTCCAACCGCCTTCCAGCCCCTACCACCGCTCCAACTACTGTCACTGGCTGGGAATCGCCTCGATACATTACCGCCTACACTTCGAATCTCCACTGTGCCCTTCCTCAATCTCAACGACAATCCATGGGATTGCTCATGCGAGCTGCGGGCACTTCGACTACCATCCTCAGCTCTCTGTGCTTCCCCGGAATCTCTTGAAGGTGTGCCGTTGAATGAACTGGACACCTGCTCCATACTTCATGGAATGCTTCTTCCACTCATGCTGAGCATCCTGGTCCTCTTCCTCATTATCATTCTGATTTGCATCCTTCTTATGAAAAAGCCTGCTCCACGGCGATCTTCTATCTACCATCATCAAGCCCTCATCAATGCCTTGTCTCAAAAAGACTTTTACTTTGACAAAGGCAGTTTATCACCGTACACCACCAGTGATGAATCCCAAGACTCCGCTTACGAGAGTCCCACTTCGGCTTTTCTTTCTCGACCGAAAATGCCTTTGCCACGACCTCCACCGAATCATAAACCGCCCACACCAGTTTTACCAAATGAGAATTATCGTATTCTCACAAATTACCCTGTGCCAATGACTCAATTGTAAATAATCTAGTTACATTCCATTGCCATTTACTTGCTATGACATTTTCCATTGCTATACGGGCCCAATGATCAGGTTCACGAGTCAGCTTTCTGTCATTTTGTATGTAGTTGTTGTTTTTATTTTCCTTATTAGTACAACTTATTCCGAATACCGATGCTCTGTGATAGGTTGTGCATGTGTGCATTTCATTCAATGAATATCTGAAAAATATATTTCGATAGTTTTGACATCAACGAGATCTGTTCCAAACAATTGCAACAATATTGTCAGGGAGCAATCGAAACAAGAAAGGTCGCGGCTACTTATCGCTGCACCTGGAATAAGCCGTGAATATGACTTCCATTTAAAACCCAGTTCACGCTATTCTTGAAACACCTTTTTGAGTTGAGAGGTGGTTTCGGTGGAGAATAGTGCATCGGTGGCAAAGACGGCGATGAAATCCCACGGCGAAAAATAAGTCTTTCGAAAGTAGTGAACATAGGGTTTGTACGAGATCACCACGACGGAAAACGACATGGAGTGGGTATTTGGACGAGATTTCAGTTGTTGCAATTGCGTAAGGAGCCGACTATCTTTAGCCAAGAATGTTGAAGTCTGCTTTCCAGTGCCGCCGTGGGTCTAACCTATTGTTTAAATTTCCAAGATTGATGTCCTTGTGAATGTTGCAGCCTTCATAATACCGCTAGAACTCGTCCAACCTTGGGTGTGGCATACAGGTGATAGTATCCTTGAGCCCTTATAACACCCAATCTAGACTGTTTTCCAATCTGCCAGTGCTTCATATGGTATAGGGTTGGATCACAGATTTAGCTGAGGAGTGAGATTTTAGAAACTTTTTTCATTGTGCCTCAAGCATTAAAATGTACTCGTCTCACGCAAAAAGGAGCAAAAGTAGAATAGTGACTTGGCAATTATTCTGCATCAAGCCGCACTCTGAACTTGTCAGAGTTCACGTTCCGAATTCTACTATGCAGATTCGATTTTTCTCGAATGAAGACTACTTTTATACAAATTACGGACACTTGGACAAAATAACCAATGAACAGCTTTATTCTTCAGTGACTAAGTTACAACGGCACATTTGGATACATTGGTAATGAATAGAAAAGAGGTAGCCTAGCTGTACATATATTATACGAATAGAGTAAGCTACAAGTAGCTAGCCAGCAGCTAGTAGCTTTGCTTACAACTTTTACGTCTTTCTGGAACAATCAGATCCATCCATTCAACCTCTAGAGTCCATGGGGAGAGCTCGCTCAGCAACAATCACAGAGATATTATACAAGAATAGCGATCTTGGACTGTCGAATCATCGCCGTCTTTCACGTGGCGACCGTGATCTTGAACGTGAACGACGTCGCTCCCTCCCTGGTGAACGAGAGGAAGAATCGTGCCTGAATCCATAACCCAGAAATTAGGAGTCTACAACTTTGGAAAAAATCAATGAAACCTGCAGGACAAAAAAATAGTAAAATACGCACCTCCTGCGAGGAGAATCTCGTCGACGTCTGTTTCTGTCATCCCGATCTTCCCTACGATGTCCTCCTTTGCTATCGTTGTGCTTGGTCCTCTCTTTAACGGGCGATTTGGACGGTTCTTGGAGAAAAAAAAAACAATAGTTGGCAACAATTTGTCAGGGATACCCCTGGTGGAACACCGATGAAATATTGGCAAAATCTGTGTCAATAGCCAAAACTGAGCTGAGTGACCTTCGACATACACATACAACCAAACTTTACAATAAAAAATGCAGAAAAAATATATTACGTGTGAAAAGTTATATTAAATCCCAGAGTAAAGATCTGTTTAGTAGCTACTACGATACTAGGCACCGAGCAACGATGATGATTCCGCCCGCTGCTTCAAAATGATCGTAGTCGGGCTTCATTTCCACTGCGATCATGACGCATGATGAGCAAACTTGCATGCGACAAAAATTTCTCATCAGAGTATCCCTCTACCAAATTTTGTAGCACCATGCGGTATTTTAAAAATACCCTTCACGATAAAAATGGTTCCTGAGACTTCCTTCTAGGATGAACTTGTGATCCTCCTCCCCAGGGATAGCAAAGGACGCTATCGAGCCGTAAAACAGTCTAGATAGGATGCTGTAGCCAGCTATACGCAATGACCCAAATAATTGAGCAGGTAAGCCAAATACCCCTCCCATGCAACCTTATGTCACATTCTCGCCCAAACTCTAATTTAACCACTTCTTGAAGCCCCGCATTTCTATGAATATGACGATTTTCGAGTCTTCTTTGCATTTTTAAACTACTCTTCACTAACTTCTCCATTATTCACCAAAGACTGATACTTCAAAGCTATTGGGAACTGCGTTTTTTAAAAAGAATTCATGCATTTAGCATACCTTCGTCACTGCTCGAATCATTGCTGCGCTTTCGTAGTGGCGAACTCTTCTTCCTCCGTTGTGAATGTTTCGATGAATCTGACGAGTCATCTAAAAGTTCAATGAATACCTAGCCAAGAGTTTTGATTCTACTAATATAATCACAAAACTTGACCCACCCTCACTTGAATCTGACGAACTCCGACTCTCCGAACTCTCCTTTTTTCTTCGCAGAGATGCCTTGCTGGCTAATTCTAAACTTGAAAATGAATGTTAATAAAGAACCTGCCTAGGATAGTCTAGAACGCATAGGATTTCCACTGCAATGATAATAATAAGCATAATAGGTTTCTACCTCGATCTTTCCTTGAATCTCGCCTTCCATTTCTCTCCGAGCTATCCGCCCGCTTACGTGAGCTCTCTTCGGCTATTTTGTCTGAACATGACGGATTATCGGAGAAAAAGCATGAGCAGAAAGGGATCAAAACAGCTTCATCCACTCCCAAACCGTTCCTTACCTTTTTTGGTGACCTTACTATTCTTTTTGCAGTTATGCCGATGGGAGGATTTCACTGAAATGAAGATAAACTTTAGGAATGAAGCGCGCAGTGTCTGTCTTCGCTATGAAGAGTAAGGCAACATGAAATGGAGAAGCTAGAATAGAATAAACTGGTAGAATTATGCAGCAATTAACCATCACTTTCGTCATTGTCACTATCCGAAGCTTGTTTCCTGTATTTTGACTTCTTATCATTGGACTCGTCTCTTCTTCGTCTTTTTTCTGAAGTCAGTTCGAATAAAACTCATTTTTTTGGGATCAGAGCCTGATATTACCAGAACATACCTTCAGCATCACTCGAGTCGTGTCGTTGACGGCGTTGTTCTGGACTCTTTCGACGCTTTGACTCGGGCTCTACAAGAATTCACTATTAAGATTATTAAGATGTTACCGGTTATATTTGAACAATTACCTTCGTCGCTACTGGAGTCATGTCGTCGGCGTGGCTTCTGCTCACGATGGCGCTTTTGTGAAGATTCTTCTTAAAAAATTGCAAGTGGAAAAAAGACTTCTAAAAATGGTTGCGGAACACTACAATCTGAACGCTTCGATTACGAGCTGCCACCCTATTCACGCTCAAGCTTGTATGCAAGAGACTGTATGAATCTTCGTGGAATCAGTACCTCACAAAAAAAAACGTTTGCATTCGCATAACCGTAGGCTAGTGCCTTTCACCAGCACAAATCAAAATTTTGATCAAGGCAGCTACTTCAGTTCTGAGTTGCTCCGCCCTTGTAATACTTCTCAATTTTTATTAACGTATATGGTGGCCCTGTTCAAGTCTACAGTGAAGCTAGTAAGTTAGAGAGGATAGATCTAAATATTATACAATCGGATTCTTTGTATCGGATTCAGTTCTAAACGGAAAGGACGGCTAATTGATTATAAATGTGAATTATGAGCTCGAAAATAGGAAAGGATCATATATTATAACTTACCTTCATTGCTGGTCGAATCGTGGCGACGTTGAACTTTCGTTAAGGGCTTTTCG